GCGTGCCTGCGTGCGTGCCTGCGTGCGTGCCTGCGTGCGTGCGTGCGTGCGTGCGTGCGTGCGCGCGCTCGCGTGTGTGTGTGTGTCCTGTGGGCTCGGGAGCATGCATTGCGACATATATATTTGAATAATCCTTTGTAAATTATTTTACTCGGATAAAGGAGACAGGACCCCGATTAAACGGGATATTCTCTGCAGAACAAACTTCGTTCTTACTTTAAAAAAACGTGGTAAAATTATCCTAAGCTTAAACACAAACTGTCAGCTCTCGACTTTTAAGTAGATTCTAAACATAGTGAGCTATAAAAACAGTTTCAGAACAAAACTTACGTGTATTATATGCTGCGTGCATTTTATAGTGCGTGTTGTGCACAGACGATTACGTAAAATTTACTCACCGCTTAGTCAGAACATTTTTACAGTTATTAAAAATTATGAATTATTAACATTAGATTGTATGATGTGAATATAATTATGTAGAGGTATTACAGCAATAATGACCGCGTCATTCTTTTGCTAATAGCCATCCATCCATAATATTACCCCATTTTACATTAGAACTAGCTAACTTTTCGCTCCGCCAGATGGCGCGCGGTGCACATTTTTATCACATTATAACGTATATGTGATTGTGTGTGTGCGCGCGCGGCGTGCGTGCGTGCGTGCGTGCGCGTGTGTGTGTGTGTGCGTGCGTTCGTGCGTGCGTGGGCGTATTTGTGACCCACAACATGCGCAGTTCGCTCACACGTCACAGCGCTGCGTGTGTGCGTTTTTGCTTGCAGATATTTGTCGTAGTAGTAATATTATTTGCTTAACTATCCTCTCCAACATATTCTACGACTCCCTCGCTCGTGGTTTTATGCGCTTCGCTCAAATGTTTCATGCCACAGATGTTAATTCCATGAGAACAAGCCAGCCTCGGTAAACATGACCGTGCAACTGGTCACGTAGCTTTTTTAATTTCCGTCATAATGAACTGAGTGTTTCACTAGATGTTCTCTGATAAGATGCTGTCTATAGGTTTCCGACCGTATTTATATACAGAATAGCAATAAAATACCATACGAGAGCCATCACTTACATGATAGGTATTCTCCCAGCCTCCCTGCTCTGCATACGTTAATACCATGTAACAGACGGATCGTTCCACAATTATAAATGATAGGCTATTAGTTTCGACTCGACTAGGCTACCATGTCCTCCCAAATAGTTTCTTGGAGTTTCCTCTTTATCGAATCATGCGATGTCAGTACTACCTGTCTCCTAGCGCTTCCTATGCAAGCTCTCCCCCCCCCCCACCTATCTTTTTTCAGTGCTCATCCGTACTACTGGCGATTATAACGTGATTAACATTGTAACGTCGTCCTTTGCTATGTCAGCGAAGTTTAAGTGTTAAATGGAAAGAAGGTCCTGCATACGTGTATCTGCCCAATGACCCTATAGGACCGACCGGACGGTCAGTCGGTCCGTCGGTCTTGCTTTCTCTCTCTCTCTCTCTCTCTCTCTCTCTCTCTCTCTCTCTCTCTAGCGTATTTACATCAAATACCGGATCTGTTTAGATACCGTATTTCTTGGACCGCGCATTTTGCCTCGTGTGAACGCTAAATACCGGATATCTTGCTACGTGTAAACGCGACTAATGTCCGGGAGTGATAGTTCGGGTGGTAATCGTCCGGGAAATGATGGCCCAGAGATAACTGTTCGAGTGTTAATGACATGGAGTAATTGTACAAGGGGGGTTGTCCGGTTGTTATTGTATCTGGGGTGATTGTCCGGGCTGATTGTACGGTGGTATTTATCCTAGAACCGCATAAAGACATACATTTACAGCTGGTAATCGCGTACGTGAATGATTGAATTAATTTAGTAGTTGCGTGTAATTTTGTACCGACTGCTTTTCATAAAATTTTCTTTAGTGTTTTATAAAATTAGCGTGTGCACTTACTTGCAAATGTGCCGTGTGAATGGTGAAAAATCCGTAGTATTCATCCTAGACACATTGCCCATGAATGTAACTGTTAAATTATACTGATTTTCGCAGTCCTGCGGTAATGTTTTAATATCCAGTTTATCGCCTTTCTTCACCGTTGCGTATGTATTTTGTAAAAAGTGGGTGACATTTTCCAATGAACACAGTCTCTCGACGTCGCACATTGCAACTGTAAGTAAACGAAAACATTTCTGTAAGAGTGTGTGAATAAGCCGCTAAATTAGATCATGGTAGTCGTAGACAGACGCGCTTTTGGAAGAGTGGATGGAACACAACAACACAAATTTGACGGCTGCGATCTCATTGGAGAAAATTAACGACCGGCGAAGTATTTGGTCGAGGTCACCTTGATTATTCTCCTTTTACTGGGCAACAAATGTCTAGATGCTTTTTAGAAGCACACTTGCACCTCACTCACCGCTAGGAACTAGGATTCAGAGCAATGACTAATAAATATATCCATGCCTGTCGCAACACTTCTCTATGTCCATACATACCCGAACTGAATGCTACGATCAAGAATGCGAGCTGATGAAAATACATGATCGGTAGATTTCCGTGTGGCACAAGACTTGTAGAAACGTACGTGTGTGTCGCCAGGTCCCATAGACAAAATGGGTGTGGAATATTTCAGCAGTATCTTAAAATCCTACAGGAAGTCAACATTTCGGTTAGGGGCGTATCTGTTACATTTCCTAGTGCACGCTGACATACAGCTGAAGTATTGCCGTTCTATGGACGCCCGGATATATATATATATATATATATATATATATATATATGTGTGTGTGTGTGTGTGTGTGTGTGTGTGTGTGTGTGTGTGTGTGCTGTAGTGTGTGACTGGTGTGGGTGATTGTGTGTGAGTGCTGTGTGTGTGTGTGTGTGGTGTGGTGTGTGTGTTGTGGTGTGTGTTGTGTGTGTGCGGAGCGTCGCGTGCGTGCGTCGTGCCTGCGCTGCGTGTGCCTGCGTGCGTGCCGTCACGTGCGTGCCGTGCTGGCGTGCGTCCCGCGCCGGCGCTCGCGTGTGTGTGTGTTGTCCTGTGGGCTCGAGCATGCAATTGGCGACAGATATATTTGAATAATCCTTTGTAAATTTTATTTTACTCCCCGGATAAGGAAGGAGACAGCAACCCCGCATTAAAACGGATATCTCTGCAGAACAAAACTTCGCTTCTTACTTAAAGAAAGAACTGGTAAACATATCCTACAGCTTAAAACACAAAACTGGTCAGCTCTCAGCTTTTAAGTACGATTCTAGAACATAGCACCTATAAAAAACATTTTTAGAACAAAAACTTACGTGTATATATGCTGCGTTCATTTTATAGGTGCGTGTTGTGCAGCAACGTATCTTAACGTAAAATTTAACTCACCGGCTTAGTCCAGGAACGATCTTTACAGTTTAGTTAGAAAACTTAGTAATTACATTAACATTAGAGTGTATGATGTGAATATAATTATTAGAGGTATTACAGCCAATAATGACCGCGTCATGCTTTGCTATAGCCAATATATCCATGCCAAATTATTTTACTCTCAATTCTTTAACATTAGAACTAGCTAACTTCTTCGCTCCGCAGATGGCGGGCGCGGTGCACATTTTTATCACATAAAATTACGTATGATTGTGATTGGTGTGTGCGCGCGCGGGCGTGCTGCGTGCGTGCCGTGCGCGCGTGCGTGTGTGCGTGCGTCCTTCGTGCGTGGGCGTATTTGTGACCCACAACATAGCCAGTTTCGCGTCACACGTCACAGCGCTGCGTCGTGTGCGTTTTTGCTTGCAGATCAATTTGATTGTCGTAGTGAGTGAATATGTATTTGCTTAACTATGCCTCTCCCAACATATATCTACTACTCCATCTCGTGGTTTTATGCGCTTCGGCTCAAATGGTCATGCCACCAGATGGTTAATTCCATGAGAACAAGCCAGCCCCGGTAAAATCATGACGCGTGGGCAACTGGTCACGTAAAGCTTTTGTAATTTGCCGTCATAATGAACTGATAGTTCACTAGATGTTCTCTGATAAGATCGTCCTATAGGTTCCGACCGTAATTATATAAACAGAGAACGCAATAAAAATACCCATACGAAGAGTGCCATTACTCTACATGAACACTTATTCTCATCCAGCCTCCTCTGCTCTGCATACGTTAATACATTTAGACAAACGGATCGTTCCATCAAATAGAAAATGATAGCTAGTTAGTTGTCGACTACGACTAAGCTACCATGTCCCGCGCAAATAGTTATCTTGGAGTTCCCCTCAGTTTCGAATCATCGATGTGAGTACTACCTGTCTCCCTAGCGCTCTATGTCAAGCTCGCCCCCCCCCCCCCTACGCCACCTAATCGTTTCAGTGCTCATGACCGTAACTACTTCGCGATATAACGTGATAACATTGGTAACGTCTCCTTTGCTATGTCGGCGGCGAAGTTTAAGGTTAAATGGAAAGAAGTCCTGCTGACATACGCCTGTAGCTGCGCCAATGACCCTATAGAGACCGACCGACGTCAGTCGTTCCCGTCGTCTTGCTCTCTCTCCTCTCCCTCTGTCTCTCTCACTTCTCCCTCTTCCTCTCTCTCTCTCTCTCTCTCTCTCTCTCTCTCTTTCTCCTCTCTCTCTCCTTCTCTCGTCTCTCTCCTCCTCTCTTTCTCTCTCTCATCTCTCCTCTTTCCTTCTCTCTCGGTTCGCTTTCTCTCTCTCCCTCTTCCCATTCTCTCCTCTCTCTCCTCTCTTCTCCTCTGCCTGTCTCTCTCTTCCTCTCCTCTCTCCTCTTGTCTCTCTCGTCTCATCCCTCTCTCTCTTCTCTCTCTCTCTCTCTCCTCTCTTTATCTTTCTCTCTCTCTCTCTCTCTCCCT